ACCGAAGAATAGAGGGGATAGGGATAGCAAAGTAACAATTAAGACATGCAAACTCTTGCCAAACGGAGCCACGGATCGGAGACGAGGAGGAGAGCTGGGATCTTACCTTTAGGGCATAATTGCGAGAGAGGGGAGAGCGGTACATGAGAGCGTAGCTTGGTCGCGAAGGAAAAATAAATATGAAACGCGGGCTGCAGGGTCTAATTCGCAGCCGGCGTTTTATCAAAACTTTTTAAAACATCCGCCGCAATGCGCTTATCAACGGCGTAAAATTACTGTTTCCGCATTTTCAGGCCGTTCTGCATGAAAAACTCGGCGCCAAACATACCCTTAGTTTTCCGGGCTTCACAAAATACGCGACAGAGGATCAAGCAGTCGAATCAAATCAAGACTATAAATGGAAAAGTGCAAAGAGTCATAATTTAAATTAATATAGAAAAGTAGTGAAGACGTCAACGCTAACTAGGATGGGAAAGGGATGCAACTCTTAGTAACAACAATTTTGGTGGCTTTACTTAGATTGTTGATTGTAAAGGGAAAAGAAGAGGGGGGTTAGGAAAAATATTATGGCTTGCTTTGGGGTGCTGAAATGAGGAGATTTTAAGCCTAAGTAGGAAGATATTATGCTAGAATAACTTTGGAGAGATGCTAACATCTAGCTAAGGTGACTTGAGTTGATGCTGAGGGTTAATTGGGTTGTCTCGCCTTGGGGCTTATACTGCTTATATCAACTAACATATGCATAGATTTTCCTAACCGAGGGGTTGGGAACAGAGGGAACACTTGACCCAACCAAGAGAGCGGCAGGATGAAAATTGATTCTTAGATTTTAGAACACTATATTGATGCGGGACAAATGAAAGTTTAGTTTCCTAAGGCAAATAATATGATACGAGTCAGGCTCTTATTAATGAAAATGAAAAAAATAATTCATAGATCACATGTTATCGATCAACCAAACAGCTGAGTTTATTTAAATAAGAACAAACAATGTTAGTCTTTAAGCTCGATAGGCACAGTGATTGTAAATAATCAAGAATTTCAATGGGAATTTAGAAACATATGAAATCATCGGACAAATTAATTTAACTTCCACAGTCAGATTTCTGACATTACTTTTTTAATTAAACCTAGGATCACCAAATTGGCCAATGAAATATTATGCTGAAATATATAATGAGTAGAATTACTAAAGTATGAAAAATTTAGGTCTCACACTGACACAATAAGATGACTTTTTCTAGAATTTTTTAATCTCATTTGTACCACAATCAATTGGAGCATTCATAAGATTAAAATTAGAAAGAAATTTGCAGGATAAGCATTCTGACATGCATGCTTCACGTCACTGTTTATGGACTCATTATCTTGGATGTTAAGTAAGGTTGGCACAAGCTTTGTTTCAATTTAGTTTGAACTTAATGCTAAATTTAATTTTAAATTCCCCAAAATTGAATGGGCATTTCGTAATTGACTCTCGCAAGCCACGTGAAACTATATAAACTGAACACTAAAGTTCCAAATTAGTGTGTTAACATGTGAATAGGACCCACCAACAATCCAAAATTCCACACATAATATTTGTAGATAAGTTCACGCATAATAAAATGCCGCAACACAGCAGGAGCAACATCTAGCCATCCCCATGTACCACATAATTCTTGGGTATGTAATTCTCACATCCACTTATCTAATAGATAGGATGCCCAATAAAGTGCTAAACTTTGACAACTCAATACCGTCATAAAATCCTACCCCTGCATTCAGTTTTTCGCCTCTAACCTACCCTTAAAAATTTTTGGTTGCATTGCTTTTGTTCATCTACATCAGTCACATCAAACCAAACTTGATCCTAGGTCACTTAAATGCATTTTTGTGGACCACTTTTCCAACAAAAAGAGATAAATACTACTTTCCGGAAACACTAAAATTCTACAACTCCATAGATGCAACTTATTTGAAAACTAACCATATTATCCTAAATCACATTCAGGGGGAGAGTTCGAGAGAATATAATATTTGAAGGGGGAGAGTTCGAGAGAATATAATATTTGAAGGGGGAGAGTTCGAGAGAATATAATATTTGAGGTACCATTCAGGAATCTGAAGCTCACCTTCCGTATATCCTTGATGAACCCGTCTCTTGTCCCCACTATCACAAATCAAACTGAAAATGAACCTATTAAACTAAACCCTCACACAACTCCCACCAAGACCAAGAACTTTGTACACCAGAAAAAAAAAAAAAAATCTAATAAGCATGTAAGGTAAGCAAAACCAGGAATGCAAATCACCGAAACTAACTTCGCACACACAAGTTTTGACACAGAGTTTGGGTCAACACATCAGGAGCACCAAGAAGAAGGAGCACAAGAATGCAAAAAACCCTCGATACAAGAATTGTGAACTATGAAAATTATTATCTTACAAATCTTTTATTTAAAACTTGGATAATGTGCATGTCCTAAAGTCAATATGACAGGCCTTATCTATTCCTGCTTGAAAAAAAGCTATGGAAGAAGATATTCTTGTCCTTGAATAGAATAATACCTGGATCATAACAATTCTGTCACATTGGAAAAGAACTGTAGGGTACAAATGTGTATTCACTGTTAAATACAAATCAGACGGGATCATTAAAAAGTCCATGGCTAGACTTATAGCAAAAGAGTTCAATAAGTTTGTGGGACTGACTATCAAAAGACATTTGCTTCAGCGGTGAAACTTAGCACAATAAGAGTATTACTGTCATTAGTTGTTAATCAGGATTTAGTTTTACATCAAATATAAATGAAAAAATTATTATTAATGGGGAATTGTGAGAGAGAAGTGATTATGAAGATACCTCAGAGATTAAAGAACAACACAAATAATCAACTAGTGTGCAAACTAAAGAAATCATTGTATGTGTTGAAACGATTTCTTAAAGCATGTTTGAAAGATTCACCAAGACTATTCTTGCCAATGGGTACTATCAGTGCCAAGCTGATTATACTTTATTTATGAAATCAAATCAAGAAGGTATGATAATAACTTTGTTATATATGTAGATGACATTTTTCTTATAGACAATAGCATCAAGGAACTTGAAATAATCAAAGAATTTTTACTTTTGAGTTTGAGATCAAAGATATTGAAAGAGTAAGATACTTCCTGGGATTGGAAGTAACTAGATCTAGAGAATGCATTGTCATATCCTAGAGAAAATATATCCTTGACTTATTAAAGGAGACATGAATGTTGGGGTGCAAACCAACAGATACTTTATGGATCCCAATCAACGAGCATCAAAAGAAGAGGATAACACTTCAATTGAAAAGGGAGATACCAAGGACTTGTAAGGAAACTTCTTTAACTGCCACATACAAGACCTGACAATTTTCTTTGTTGTGAGTGTAGTGAGCCAACATATGAACAATCCAAATGAAGATTATTTAGAACCTGTCTTTTGAATCCTGAGATATCTAAAGATAACTCTAGAACGTGGATTGATATTCAAGAAAACTGAGAACAGTGACATTGAGATTTACACTGATGCTAGATGGGCAGGATAACTAACTGATAGAAGATCTACCACGTGCTACTATTCATTTGTATGGGGTTATCTGGTTTCTTGGAGAAGTAAAAAATAAGTTATGGTATGCACAATTTGAGTATCGTGCTCTGGCCCTTGAAATATGTGAAGGGATGTGGCTAAGAAAATTACTAGTGGAGCTTCACATGGAAAACAAAAGCACTTTTAAGTTGTTTAGTGATAGTCAATCAACATCAGTGTTTCAAAGAATCTGGTACATCATGATCGAACCAAACATACAGAGAATGATAGACACTTTGTCTCTGAGAAGGTCAATGGAGGAGTTTTCCAGCTAAGTTATATCCCAACTCAATATTAGATTGCTCACATTATTATCAAGGCTCTTCTTTGGCATCGCTTTAGTGATCTCAAAAGAAAGTTTGGGTTGTATGACATATACAACTCAACTTGAGGAGGAGTTTTGATATGCATAGAACCGTGGATCACATGGGCCCACCCACATTTTTGGAAATCATGGGGCTGTTGTTATATTTAAGGGAAAGGAATTATTCTCCTTTAATTATCCATTTGTTTTTATTTCTTTCCTTTTTGTCATGATGATTTGAATTTTCCTCGATTGTATGACGGTCAATTTGAGTTGTATATATATTTGTTATTTACTTAACGAGAAAGTTATAGAGATTTTTCTTATATCAAAGTTCCTCCCAAATTTGTACAGGATTATCTTTGGGGCCATGAAATTGGAAAAATAATTGCTTTCATGCTAGTTCCTAGTATAAACATAAACGAACCCGAACCGACCTATGCTGCACCCCTTAATATGTGAAAAGAAATATGGTTTTATGTGAGACAGTTTTGGCTAAACATACTTCTTATACAAATACTACTGATTGTTTCTTATACAACTTCCTGCTGGATGAAAAATTATGTTAATGTGATTATATCTTGATTTATGTTTATAATATCAGTGCATTGAGTAACTAGTGTGAATCCTATCCATCGCACTGCACTGTATTTAGTCTGCAAAAAAGACGAGCCTAATAAAGATGATGTCCTTTTGGCTTAAACCTTCCATTTTGCTAATGTCTTTCACTTACCAAATTATCTACTCGAGGGTTTTATTTCTTCACTTGAGCTTTTGTTTTTTATCATACATGCTACGGATGCTACCTTTTCTAGATTAAAAATCTTCCATTTAGGGGTGTTGGGCTTTACAACAAAAAAATATTGACGGGAATCACGAGTAATTATATACTAATATATTTATTATAAAATGTATATATCAGGTAAGTACACTGTGTTTTACTTGCATATTTTTATTTAAGACGAAAGTTCAAGTTGATTTGACCTCAGGTTTATTGCTATATTACCAAACCAGCAAATTTTTTGGGACTCGTCTTGGATAAAATACTTAGTTTTGAGTGGACAAAAAGGACTTAATAACTCTTTTTTGAAATTCGAGCAGCTTCGAGAGATATGTAAAACTTCGGGTG